GTTGATGTTGACGTTGTTGACTTTGCCCGCCTGCACGGCCGTTTTGGTCAAGGTCTCGATGACGTGGTCGCTCTGGAGTACGACGTCTCCCTGGGGGCAGAGAGAGGGCGGTTAACGCCGCTGTAAGGCCGTGGTGGTGCTGGCGTGGCCTCAGGTTAGCAGGGAGAAACGTTTCCCCGAGCGGCCCAGGCCTGGAGACCTCGGGCTGCTGTTGCGGGTCACACTGGGCACGCGGCAGCTCATCTGCTGCGGTGAGTAACGGGGGCAAGGGGCGGAAAAAAAAAAGGCTGCGGTGAGCCCCGGCTGCGCACGGGTGAACACAGAGACATTCCAGCAGAGCCGGCACGAAGCCGGTTACGCGTCACCGTGGGTACCCTCCCCCCACCAGATCTGCTCTCTGCCACTGAAGCGTTTCTGGAGGCCGGAACGGCGGAGGGGCCCCTTACCTTCTGCTTGTTGTCCTCGCAGTGCACGTGCAGCACGAACAGGTTGTCGCTCAGGCTGCTGACGGAGATGCCTGCAACAGAGAACGGCCAGCTGCCACCCAGCACAACAACTCCTGGGATTCGTGTGCGTCTCCGGACCTCTCCCAGAGCGCGGCAGCTCTTGTTCCCGCAGCAGGAAAGCCGGCAGCTGGGGAGCTGCCCCAGTGCCTGCGGTGAGGCCGAGGAGGCTGCGAGGTGACAGACCGGCAGCGTGTAACTGTGCTCTGAGGATGGAGAACAACCTTACAGCGGCCTCCCTGGAGCAGGAGGGGCGCCTGTTGGCAAACTGCCGCGGCCTTCACAGAGCTGGCACAGAGCTGTGGCCGGCTGAGGGCCCCGTGACCAAGTTCCGCTGGGCGGCACCCGCTGGCCGGGGACCGGGTTTGGACTCTGTTGCCGCCAGGCCAGACCCACCCGACTGGCCGTTCGCTCTCAGCTGGCCCGGCGCTCGCGGAGACGAACACACGGCTCTGCCGCAGCAGCCTCCTACGGGCGTCACGGACCCCCAGGTTAGTGTCACCCTTGGCAACCACTCCGAGGGGCGACGGTCACAAAGCTGCATCCGCACCAAAAGCGGCTGCGACGGGAGGGGTTTCTGACAGAGCCGAGCGCCGACTCCAGCGCGGCAGGCAGCTTCCTCTGCCTGGCCACGTCCCCCCTCCGAAGGGGCCGAGTCCCTGTCACCCAGCGGGCTGGAAGCTGGAGCAGCATCCCATGGCACAACTCCCCTGCGGGAGATGCGTCAGTGGGGAAGGGGTTAGGAGGGGCCCTGGGGGAGGTGGATTGGGTAACTTCTGTGACAGCTGATGGAGTTAAATTTTAGAAAAACTCAATTTGGAGACGGCACAGACTGCAAATGCTTGTCAGCCCCGGGTACTTCCCTTCCTGCTCAGGACAGGGCTGCATTGTTACCCAACTGCGGCCAACCCCCCCGTCACGTCCTCACCTGTCAGGTCGGCGTAGTTGATCCGTTGCTTGATCTTGGACTCTTCAGCTATGACGGCCGCGCTCTGGGTAAGCAGCAGCTGCCGCGCTCTTGCTTTGTATCCCTTCCGGTCGTACTTGACCACGGGAACTGCGTACTGAAACAAGGGTTAGCAGAGCTGGGGCTGCAGCGGGCCTCAACCCCCAGTGACTGCAGCCAAGCCCGAGTCCCCCCTGCTGACGGAGGAGCCTGAGCAGCCCTGAGGCACTCCAGGTTTAGCTCCAGGTTTCCCAGTGCTCCCACCCCCTCTCCCAGCCCTGCCAGCTGCAACCCCTTCAATCCTGAACCGCCCTAAGCTTGCCCAAATCTCAGACTGCTAGTCCCGAGCCCTCGGCTCTTCCCATCAATTTCCTCCTACGGTCTTACGAGCTTAGAAACTCATGCTCTGTTTTCTTCAGAAACCTGATTCTGCTGAGTAACCGCTCCCTGACAGCGACTCGGGACACGTCTCTCACCTTAATGGCTTCGCTGCCTAGAGCCTGAAGGACCCTGGCATTTATTTCTTCATTACCTGTGTCAAAGCCAAAGAGCTGGGGTCAGAACGAGAAATTTCTAGCAAGAAGAGAGTAGATCAGTTCCCCCCTTCCTTCCGCAGCGTCACAGCCCCCACTCACCAAGCCGGGTGTTGATGAAGAGTCTAGGAACGCTCTGAGGGTAATTGTCTTTTTTGCCCTTAAAAATCTCGCTGGCGATTACTTTCTGTTCCAGCTGCAAGGACAACAGACGTGCTCTGTTTAGTATAAATGTCTCCTTAAACTAAAAGACAAGTTTTTCTTCCAAGACGCGTTCTCTCTTCGGTTTTTAGCAGACACCATCTCGCTCTGGCGTCCTGAATCACAAAATATTCCCTTCCCACAGCCACCCGATCTTCAGGGTGGAAGGCAGGGTGGCTGCTTTTTCCCCTTCCCCTTCCATCCCGCTTCTGGGCTGAATTCACCTGGATACTGCATCGTGGCTCTGGATTTTGGTAACGCCCGTATTTAAAAAGCCTCAGAATCCCCCTGCAGTGGTTCCCTTAACCTCTTCCTCCTCCAGCCGTTGTTCTCTGCCCCACACGCTGTGTTCACCTCGCAGCTGTTCCCTCCCCGAAGCTTTTCAGCTACACCACCTTTACTCCGAGTTTCCACCTCCGCTGCGCTCCAGGCTGGCGTTAGCCCCGTGCCCTTAGTCCCTGGCTGAGCTCTAAGTCACCTGCAGCATTCCGGGCCCCGTGCTTAGCGGGGTGGGAAGCGGTAGGGGGTTTCCTTCTCCGCACACTCTGGGCTTGGGGTTTTGTCTCTGACCTAACACCAGTCGCAGCGTCCCCACGGAACGGTTACCCAGCCGTGACATGGTGATTCAGGAGCTGCTCCACCTCCCCGCTGCTCCTGTGCAGGACCCTGTCCCCACCCACTGCTCCCCCCGGGACAGACCCGAGACCCCCCTGTCCTCGGCGACGTCTGCGTGGCGTGTGAAACCCAGTTCTCGTACCTGCTGCTTCCACTCGGGACTGATTCGCTTGCAGTAGGTCCAGACCATGTTCTGCATGCAGAGCTGCCGCAGGAGCTGGGACGCCTGGAGAGGGAAGCAGAGCCCGTGGGGAAGGAAGCACAGAGCCCGCGAAAGGGCCCAGCGTTCCCGACGAACCAGCTCAGCCGGTGGAGAAGCAACACCAGGAAATGCCGGGGTGAAGCGCGGTTCCGCTGGCAAAGTGCCGTAATAGGAAGCGAATTTTCCACCTCTCCGAGAGTTTCTCCCGCAACATTCTCCAGCTGCTTTAGAGCGGAGGGTGGGTGCCGGGAGCCCTGCTATGGCACTGCTC